CCACCCAAACAAAGCTTTGCATGTACTTCCTGAGGGGGTGTCCTGAACTTGGCCCAGGGAGAGACTGCAATTCCCTTTCTGAGGGGTAGTTTTGGCCTAACAACAATGAATTCTGGGAGGAAACCTCAAGAGTATTTTTCTGTCTTCTCAGTAAAGAAGTATTCTCTTGGTAAAAATTTTGGGTTCCAGAAGCATCTAGTTATCTAACTAGTCACCTGTCCACACTGAGCTCTCTTGCAGATGTGACATTAAGATCGTGGAGTTGGGAACCTGGGCTTCAAGGTCAGACGTACCTGGTAGAAATCCAGGCACTCTCTTCAATCTCTGGCTTTCAGCAGGTTCTTAAATTTTCTAAGCTTCATTTGCATCTGTACCATTGAAGTGAAACCTGCCCGGTAGATTTGCTATTAGGATGAAACATGAATTGAGTGTGAGGGATGTAACACAGCGTCTGGCATTGTAGTTAGTGTTCAATTCGTGGTGGGGGAAATGGTGGTGGTGAATATCTAGCTTCTATTTACCCACCTACCTATCATCATCATCTTAGTAAAATAACTTAGGGTGCAAAACAACAAAACAATCTTCTGAGTCAGATTCTTTTCTTACCAGACTGGACAATTTTATGTATTGATAACTCTCACAGAAGTCAGCCTTTCCAAGCTGCTGGAGCAATAGGAAGTGGGAGTCCCCAGGGACAGCTGGCCTGGGTTTGATGTGTTTATGTGACAGCTCTGTCTGCAGTGCTGACCTCCAGGGGCTGTGGGGCAGGAAGAAGGTATTCCATGAAGGAAAATCTCACCCTAGATTCAATTAGCCAAAGAAGTGTCTGATTTCTCCCTGCTGTTGCATAATAAAGCCAGATTGACTTTAGCCAAAGTAAATATACCACCCCTCCCCCAAAAGCATTAAAGTTAAAAAAAAAAAAGAACAATACATATAGACCAGAGAAAACTAGAGAATGAACTAATTTTATAAGAAGAGAATTGTGGTATTTATGACCTCAAAAGCAAGTCACATCTGAGAGCTTTTATTTTGCTCCCATATACATTGTTTATTCAACATGGCTAATGCTGTTGCTCCAAATCTTGTCTTGGCAAATACTAATTATTATTATTTGGAATCTGAGTTCCTTAAAGCATGCTGGCACAGAAAAGAAAGCCAAAATAAACTAGGCTTGTTGCAAGGCTGTTATTATTTCAGAGAATCATTTTTAAAAATGCATTCAGATTTGTGTAAATGCAGAGCTTGGGTAAGTGTGATAAAAGCCTTACTAACAAGTTCCCAGGATGCTTTTCATAATGAGCCAGTCATCAAAATCCATGACCGAGAATGAGAGACAGACGTGTCCTTGCTGCCGTGTGGGGCCCCGTGCACGCCGCAGCACCCACCTGTGCGGCCAGTCGGCAGCTTGGGAGAGGGTCCAGCACGGGCCGCTGGCTGCCACTGTCAACTGCAGTTACAGGCGTGTTGGGATTGCAGCCAGCTTCAGCTTTTCCAGTTCCTGGCCCAGTCTGTATGTGATTATTGGAACGTTCGCTGAGTATCCAAGAACTAAGAATTTTAAAAGGCTGAACCACTGTCGAGTGTCGTGAGGAGGCTGGGACAGTGTGGTTCCTGCAACCAACTCCGGTCCGTTTGAACCAGGCACTGTTGCTCTCTCTCTAAAAGCCCAGCCGTCGGCTCTACTTTGTTGCACTGACACATGCTCGGCCTGATCGTCACTCTTCGCTTTCCCCAGTTTTACTGGCTCTTTCTAATAGGTCTTGAGGAACTTGAATTACCACAGACAAAGGGAAACAGAGGCATGGCTCCTGGCGCCCAGTCTCCGCCACAGTAGCCACACTGCGTCGTCACCGTTTCAGCAGTGCCCATTCTAGAATGCGCTACCTGCGAACGTTCTGCCACGCCGCTGTCTCTGGGCCGCAGGGTCTCCCTAGACAAAGTCACTCCCACAGAGATGCTCCACCCTCACCGGGGCTCTCCCCGCTGCCCACCGTGGTGACTTGCTACAGGGGCTGTTTCGAGTATTTCCCAGAGCCGGGTCAGGCTCGTGCATCTCCTGCGTGCCCAGAGCTTGTGGGAGTTGGGGAAAGGCGGGCACAGCGTCAGTGCTGTCCAGTCATGCCCCGGCCTTTTCCCGCGGTCACAGCCCGGTTTGCCCTGTATTCAGTGCTGGGGCACAGGAATGCGCGTTGCTACACCTGCCCTGGGCGCACATTGCCCAGTGATCACAGACGGGTACCGGGTGAGGAGCGGGGAGCCCCGGGACACGCTCGGGCAGGAGCCGGCCCAGGCACGGCTCCTCCGAGAAGAGGCATCTCGCTGAGACCCGCAGACTGAGTATGTCTGCAACAGGCAGCGAGCACGCCTCCCCATCGGAGGCAGGAGGTTGGAGGCCAGGAGGCCGGAAGAGGGGCCTGAGCTAGGGCAGCGTCCCTTGTTTCCCCTCAGAAGTGAAAAACTGGGCTGACTAGACTTGGAGGCTGACGTGGAACACACCGACTATTTTACAAAAGATTTCTTTAACCACAAAAATCTCATCTGCCAAATTCTTGCAGCACTGTGCTAACAACAATTAATAGTATTAATAGTATTCCGGTCATATTAAAACCCCAGCACAATTTCCAGAGAATTTGCTTTGGCTCTGAGCAGAGGTTTGCTGACAAGTTTCTAACAAATACAAGAGAGATTAGAAAAGGTATGAGGTGTGGCTTTGGCCCTGAAGGTGTTATTGTCTGTTGGCCTGATAACACTGAATACGTTAAACAGCATAAAAATAACGACAAAGCTGTGATCAGCAGCTGCAAATGGTTTTTGTAAAAATCGACCATCCTGGCCGGCAGGGTGGCTCACACCTGTAATCCTAGCACTCTGGGAGGCCAAAGTGGGCGGATAGCTCGAAACCAGCCTGAGCAAGAGTGAGACTCCATCTCTACTATAAACAGAAAGAAATTAATTGGCCAACTAATATATGTATATACAAAAAATTAGCCGGGCATGGTGGCGCGTGCCTGTCGTCCCAGCTACTCAGGAGGCTGAGGCAGGAGGATCGCTTGAGCCCAGGAGTTTGAGGTTGCTGTGAGTTAGGCTGATGCCACGGCATTCATTCTAGCCTGGGCAACAGAGCGAGACTCTGTCTCAAAAGAAAAAATCAACCGTCCACTGCTAGCAGTGTTCAGTGAGGACTGGTGGGCGGAAGGTGAGCTAAGGACTGCAGAGGGGAGGGATGGGAGGGCCAGTACCGAGCTAGGCCTTTGCTGACACTGGCACGGCGTCCTACTGCGTGATCATCAGGGGTGCTGTTGTGGCACCCGGGGAAGTCAGTCCCTCCGAGCTGAGCCACCTGGAATCCAAGGTAGAAGCTGGCAGAATACATTTCATTTATTCTTGTGTGAAATAGTCCTAATTAGAGTTTTCTCTCTAACTTCTTACCAGATATAGCTACTTTGTTTTCTTATTTTCCTTCTTTCTCTCCATCTTGTTTCTTCCTGCCTTCTCTCCCCATCCCTCTCTACCCTCTCCCCTTTCCCTCCTTCTCTCCCCCCCTTCCTTCTCTTTCTTTGTTCCTTCCTTTTTAAAATTTCCTTTCTTCCTTCCATCTTTCTTTCTTTTCTTCCCTCTCTTTCTCTTTCTTTTTCTTCCTCTCTTTAACTTTACAATTTGGTGATGTCTTCCTTAAAAACCTGATTTTTCCAGCCTGGACAACATAGCAAGACCCTGTCTTTATAAAAATATTTAAAAATTAACCAGGCATGGTGCTTCACGCCTGTAGTCTCAGCTACTTTGGAGGCCTAGGCGGGAGGATTACTTGAGGTCAGGAGTTCAAGACCAGCCTGAGCAAGAGCAAGACCCCATCTCTACTAAAATAGAAAAAGTAGCCAGGCATGGTGGCGCTTGCCTGTAGTCCCAGCTAGTCAAGAGGCTGAGGCGGGAGGATAGTCGTCGAGCCCAAGAGTTGGAGGCTGTGGTGAGTTGTTTGTACCACCGCCTCCAGCCTGGGGGACAGAGCAAGACCTAATTTTGGACCCATGCCATGTTTTCTGTTAAGCAATGAATAGTAGCTTTACCTCTCCTGTGTTATTGTTTTGTTTAAATCTTTGATTCTTTCCTGCCGTCGTGCTTTGTTGTCAGAGCTGAGTCTTTCTGATCATCCTGAAGAGACTGTGTGAGAGAACTTGGAGAACCGGTTCCATGGGCTGTTGATTAACCTGACAGAGAGGATGCTGCTGACCACAGACACAGCCTGTTCTTGACACCGCAGTAGTTTATTTGTAGTAGCATGTCGCTTTCTGCAGCTCTGTTGTCTTAGTTGGTTTGGGCTCTTATAACAAAATACCCTAGACTGAGTGGCCTAAACAACAGACATTTATTTCTCGTGGTTCTGGGAGGTAGAAGTCAAAGATCAAGGTGCCAGCAAATTTGGGGTGTTGTGAGGGCCTGTTTCCTGGCTCCTAGCCCACCGTCATCTCACTGCATCCTCACGTGGTGCAGGCAGCTCTCTGGGGTCTCTTTCATAAGGAAGGGCATGGATCACGCTCGTGAGGGCTGCACCCTGGGGACTAACCCCTCCCAAAGGCGCCCCCTCCTGATGCCATCACCTTGGCAGCTGGGATCTCAACATCTGAATTTTGGGAAGACACAGACACTAAATCCATGGCATCTGTTTTCTTATTTGAAAAACTGAAATAATGACATCTGTATATCTGCATGTGAGAATGTAGTGGAGTCTTAAAAAAGATTCTTCATACATTAGAAAATATTGAGACATGTTGCTATTTAAAAAAAAAAAAAAGGATTATGACTATTGGAGATTGGGAGGTGGCAGTTATTTTAGAAAGGGCCCCGGTGATGATTGTCATTACCCACTGTCTTTAAAACCTGAATGATCAGAATAATATACATGAAAAGATCTCGGGAACTCATAAGGGTTTTGGTTTTCCTTGATGGCCCTCTACGATCGCCTACTGCAAATATGAACAGAGAGCCTGTTTGTGTTTCAGATCGCAGAGGGAATGGCATACATTGAGCGTAAGAACTACATCCACAGGGACCTGCGAGCAGCTAACGTGCTGGTCTCTGAGTCACTTATGTGCAAAATTGCGGATTTTGGCCTTGCCAGAGTGATTGAAGATAACGAGTACACAGCAAGGGAAGGTACGTTCTAATAACAGTCGTTAGGTATCTTCTTATGGTTTCATTTTATTTTGTTTTTGTCTGTTTTTAACAAAACAATTATAGTGGTCATCATTAAAAAAAAAAAAACACTTATTTGCTACAACGTGGTACAACGTCCAAGATATCCCTTAATTATTTCTAAAATGTACTCTCTTTATTAACTCCACAGGATACATCTATGAGGTTTACAAATGCTATCATTTGTATTTCAATTAGACAAAGCAAAACAAAAATAGATTTTGCAAGATCAAGGTTCGTTGTTTATATCAGTAAAGTTTTCACTCAAACAGTGAAGTATACTTCCCTTAAATATAGAGAAAATATTTGTGACGTTAATTCTGTGATCTTTATTCTGGCCTTTTAATTACAAATTGAAACATGGACATTATCACACATACAAAACTAACTGTAATGCTACAAAAATACACTCCTTTATTTTCCCACATTCTGTATTATTTATGTGAACAAAAAATGCACAGAGGCATAAATGCCTGAGCCGTGGCGCACTGTCTGGAGGCCAAGCACAGCCAAGACTCCGGCGGCCTTTCCCGCGGTAGGGTCACCCGTGGTGCTTACGACCTGAGGATTCCCATGACAATCGAGTGAATATTTTTGCCGTGCTCACTCTCTTCTGAAAGAACCAAGCACTTTCTTCACATTCCTAAGCATGGTTAAACAAGGATTGTTTTTCTTTTAATGATAAGTTTGTTATTTCTGGAAGATGTGCGGAGGTGGTAAGCAGAATGCAAGCGTCATTTTGATCTGAGCACCTCTGGCCTCCATCACGACTAGAGTGGCTCTCCTCCTGCCTCAAGCCCGTGTTCCCCTCATCCTTTCCCTTGATGATTATCCTCAGCAAAAAGGCAGGCAAAGGAGAATAGTTTGAGGAAAAGAAGCTCAAAAAAATTAGCTAAAATGTATTGAGCATTTACAGTGTATATAAATGGGGTTTCTACACATTATCTCATTTATCTTTATAACAGCCCTACATGATAGGCATCAATGTTATCATTATTATTCCCACCTTACAGGTGAGAAAACTGAGAGGTTCTATAGCTTTTCAAGGTCCCACAATAAGTGGTAGAGCTGAGATTCAAACTCAGGAGATCTAGCCTCATAGTATATGAGTTAGAATTGATTCTGCTTGTTTTTATTAAATTTGACCAGCCTAGAGTCTCACAAAAATAATGCACACAGAGAGCATGGCTTAATGCGGACCGCACAGTTCTGGATCAGACAGCACACCCGCTCCTGGCTTGTCTCAGGAAGACAGTAATGACACTTACCTTCATCAGTAAGTGCCATTCACTGGGACCTTCACTGCCAGGCTTCACTGCTATTTACACTGTGCCAGGCTCACGGATCAACCCACTTAATCCTCACAGCAAGCTGGGGAGGTTCGATTGTCTCCCCATTTTACACATGGAAGCACCAGAACAGCACAAAGACAGTGAGAGACTTGCCAGGATCGCTCCCAAGCAGGAAACGGCAGAGCCAGGATTCAAACCCGGGCTGTGTGGTGCCAGCGTGGCCGGGCTCCCGACCACGGCTGCCTGCCTGCCCCGCACGCTGCTCTGGGTGGGTGGGGGTCGATGCAGGAGCGTGTGATCACATTGCCAGGCACACAGTGGCCACCCCACGGGGCTGTCTGCATCCTCACTGTTCTTATCTGCATTTGCAATCTTGGTTGGGCACCACAAAAAATTCTCAAGCAAAGACACAGTAAGGGCAAATGTGTGTTTTAAAATGTGGTTGGTGGAAGCCTCCATCCTTTACTGGGTGCCTGAGTCCCTGCTTTCCTCAAGGGGCCCCTGCACAGTCCCTGCGCCAAGCCTGCCTGTCCCTGGGCCCTTGGTGTCACCAGCTCTTCATGAGAAAAGCAGTTTCATCACTAGCTCATGTCAGGCAGAGCGTCATTCCACCTCATCCTGAAAGTGGGATGTGTTTTGTCCTATCAGATGAAAGAATGGGACAGGCTTAAAGACATTTACCCATAAAAGTACACTGATCCAAAATGTTTACATTCCCTGTAAACATAATATGGTTCATTAGAGAAAATTTGAACACTTTCAACATGGTGTAGAGGGGCAAATGCACATACTAAAAATGAATTCCTTCACATTCTGTGTCATTTTTGTATGTCAAAGTTGTCTAGTTATAATATACCCAGGAGTGTGCTCAGGAAACTTCCTTCTAGAGAAGAATATGCAAAAGGGAAACAGGAGGGAAGCAAAGTTTTTTAGTATGGTATTTCGCACCATCTCCATTTTGTACTATATGTATGTGTTACCTACTCAAAGTAAATGTTTTAAACCAAAAATCAAAAGAGGAAGGTATAAGGGTCATACATCCATGACTTGATGCGTAAGTTTAGACTCCCAAGTAAAAGCCTGTGTCTTCTTCTGTAGGTGCTAAGTTCCCTATCAAGTGGACAGCTCCAGAAGCCATCAACTTTGGATGTTTCACTATTAAGTCTGATGTGTGGTCCTTTGGAATTCTCCTCTATGAAATCGTCACCTATGGGAAAATTCCCTACCCAGGTATTGTTTACTTACATGTTGACATTCAAGTGGGATACATAAGAAAAAAGACACTACCAAAAAAACCCTCTAACCAGAAGCGAAGAATAAGCATTTGGTGCTGGAATTTTATTTTCACTGTATTTAGTGGAAATTGTTCTAAAATATGCTTTGACACTTCCCTGCCTTCTTATTTTATTAAGTGCATTCCTTTTTTCCACTAATTAATTCCACCGCTTACTTAATGCCTAGAACTTGCCCGGCCCAGTAGGTGCTGAGGCTGGGCTGGAGCAGCCGGGTACCCTCCAAGGCACCTCAGGCGAGGAAACACACAGAGAGACAAGGGTTCCAAAGCTTTTAGTTCTGAAACAGCTTTTGCAATGAGTGCTCTGGAGTCTCCACCTCTTTGGGAAATGATCACCTGTATTTATCAGTGAAAGGTTCTCCGCTCTCTAACATGCTGGCGTCAGTGAGGATGTGGTTCAGTGTTTCCAGATTCCTGACACTAGAAGCCAAGAAGCCAGATTCTGCCCATCCCTCCCCTTTCCTAGGGTCTGTGCTGGTGTGGTTAAGACGAGGGATTTCCCCCAAAGCCTTCACATTCTCATTAATGTTTGACTCTTAACAAAATTTATGGATAAAGTAGATTTAAAATTAAATTTTTGGTCTTCAGTCCAATGCTCTGCCCCTGAGCTACACCCCCACCCTAAAACCAAACTTTTAACGTTTAAACCCTTCCTTTATTCAAAACATACCTGAGTGTGCCAGGCACTCTGGAGGCACTGCGCACGCGGTGGTCTCTGTCCCTGCCCTCCAGAGCGCACACCCTAGCAGGGAGAGGCTGGTGGCCATCAGTGGGTGACCAGGCGGCGGGCGTGCAGTGGAGCCGCATGCGTGGTTAGGGATTGGCCTGCGCTCACAGAAGGGGTAGGGGGACAGCTTGTTACATCCAGTGGCCCCAGCAACAGCAGCGACTCAGAGATGTGAGGGAGGGATCTTGGGGCCCCCTGGGGATAACTGTCCCTACAGGGGAGCAGCCAGTGCAGGGGCCTGGCCAATGGGAGCGGAGGCCAGCGTGGTTTGCGCCTCTATGAGACTTTGTGGAATGAATGAATCAATGACCCCCTAAGCCATTATTACTCTCTAGTAGTCTCCATGCTATGGACTGGAAAGCAAGAGGCCATCGAGTTGGGGCTCGGGGAGAGCCTTAGTGGCCATATGAGAGTGTCCGTCCTACTCTGCTGGGATGGAATCAGGGAAGGCACAGCCACGTTGCCACGTGCTCCGACCACTCCCGCTGCTGTGCGGGGATGAGCCACTGAGAAGCCGGGGCAGGGGCCAGCTGGGAGCTGACAAACTTCCGGGGGTGCCCGCACGGTGGGCAGCTGTCCCAGGGAATCCCTCTCATGCCAGTGTTAAATATTCCAGCTGACCCCGGCCCTAGATGCCGAAGTTACTGCTGCAAAATAGGAAAGGTATTTCCAATCAGCCCAGACGTCTCACAAGGTATATGTCTGTATCTATGTCTGTGCCTACATCTGCTTCTGGAATCTGTCTGTGAGAGAGAAAGCTTATATATTCAGATTATACATGTGATCTGACACCTGATAAAATAAACTTCTAACCTCATAAATCATGTGTACTGCTGTGGCGTGCTACTTGTGATTTGTAACCACAGCCCCAGAGGCCCAGAGAAGGCGACTGGGCCCCTCGCTGGTGGCACGGCTGCTCTGAGCCTCACTTCCCTGTGCCACCCAGGAGCTCGCCCTCACCACTGTGCCCAACGCCCAGGAGGTGGAAATATTTGATATTTGGGGTGAAAAATCATAAAAAATATATAAACAAACCAGTAGAAAAATGGTGAGAATCACACATACACATATATGTATACATATAATATACATGTATGTGTATATATGGTAGAAACAACCAGAAACCATTGACTGGTCTGTCCTTCGATGGCTTGTCCCTTGTAAGAACTGACCTCTGGGCTTTCCGGATTGATGGGTTTTCTAGTCACAAGAGTTATATGTTACAAGAGCCTCTAGCATCAGGAATTATGAGCAGAATCAAGCAATCCTGTTTACTTGAACATCAGAGGGTGTGATCCACAGAAAGCGTAGAGATTGGTGAACGTTGCCAAAGGATGCCGTTTTCCACCACAGATACAAAACTGCTCATGGAAGAGACGCCATCAATAATTGAATTATCTGAGAATACTTTACCCGGTAAAGTGCTGGATAGGTTTTTCTTTTTTTTAAAGCACTTTAAAGCCATATGACCTACCTCTGCAAAATAAAAAAGGGAATAAAATAAAGGAGAAATACAAAAAAGAAATAAGAAAGCTATATATAAAGTGAACATGTATTTTTAGAGGAAAAAAAGTGCTAAGAGGGATAATATACCAAATGTTATTGTCCTTGAGTAAAGAGATGATAGGTTATATTAATTTTAGGCTATATAACAGGTTACATTAATTTTCTTCTTGATACATATCTGGTTTGTAATTTTTTACAATGATATTTTTATTAAATATTCTTATCCAAGTAACATATGCACATTAGAAAGTCATGTAGTACTAAAAAACTTCTAATGAAAAATTGCCACATGGGTCCTACTGGGCCACTGAGGCTCCTCAGAGAAATCTCCTTGCGGGAATTTTGGTTATTTATTTTAGTACTTGCTGCTCATAGTTCTCAATATTATACTTTTATCTCTTGAATAAAGTTTTTTTTTCCATTATACTCATTTTTTTTTTTTTTTTAAAAAGAGTCTCGCTTTGTTGCCCAGGCTAGAGTGAGTGCCGTGGCGTCAGCCTCGCTCACAGCAACCTCAAACTCCTGGGCTCAAGCGATCCTCCTGCCTCAGCCTCCCAAGTAGCTGGGACTACAGGCATGCGCCACCATGCCCGGCTAATTTTTTCTATATATATTAGTTGGCCAATTAATTTCTTTCTATTTATAGTAGAGACGGGGTCCCGCTCTTGCTCAGGCTGGTTTTGAACTCCTGACCTCAAGCAATCCGCCCGCCTCGGCCTCCCAGAGTGCTAGGATTACAGGCGTGAGCCACCGCGCCCGGCCCAGTTTACTCATTCTTAAGTAAGAATATGGTGACATGGTTTTAAATTCAAGCAACACAAAGAGGTGTGAGGTGAAAGGCAGCCCTCTCTGTCCTTGGCCATACAATTCCTGCCCCACATCGACCACTGTGATCAGTTTCTACCCCAGAGACCTCCTGTACGTGAAATCAGACGGTTTTGTCCTTTTGCGTCTGGCTTATTTCACTCAGCACAACGTCCCCAAGGCCCATCCTGGTGTGGCCTGTGTCAGAGTGTCTCACTTCCTTGCCTTCAGTCTTTCTCCTCACCCCGGTCTTCCGCCCACACGCGCCCCATCTCCACTGGGCCTGGTGTGCCGAGCACAGTGCGTCTCTGCTCAGTTCTCCAGCATTAGCCGTGGCACTACCGGGCGGGCCCTGGGTGCCACCCTCTCTGGGGCCACTGGCCTCACCCTCCCTCTCAGTGTGCCGGCCTCCCAGCAAGAGCCATCGCACCTGCTGTCCCTCTGGGGGCACTGTGGTTACACTTCTGTCTCAGAAGCGGCTCAGACCACTTCTGCCTCTGGCTGCCAGAGGCCCTTAGTTTCATCAGAGACGGGATTTAAGTTTCTATTTCTTGTTCTCTTTTTTTGTTACAGTAAAAAAAAAATAGGCTGGGCTTGGTGGCTCACACCTGTAATTCCAGCACTCTGGGAGGCCGAGGCGGGCAGATCAATTGAGCTCAGGACTTTGAGACCAGTCTGAGCAAGAGCGAGACCCTGTCTCTACTAAAAAAATAGAAAGAAATTAGCTAGACAACTATATATATATATATAGCCGAGCATGGTGGCGCATGCCTGTAGTCCTAGCTACTCAGGAGGCTGAGGCAGGAGGATCACCTGAGCCCAGGAGTTTGAGGTTGCTATGAACTAGGCTGACGCCCAGGCACTCAAGCCCGGGCAACAGAGTGAGACTCTGTCTCAAAAAAAAAAATAAATGGGGGAGAGGAGGCACAGATCTTTACTTCATTATCTTAAAACCAAACCTGTGATTATATTTCTCTGTGAATTTTTTGAAGAAAAAGGAGGGGTTTCTGTTTTGCTTTGCTCCTATAAAAAGAAAGGAGGTTTGAAAATGATAAAACTTTCTGAAGCATCATGTCTTTTCTGGCTGTTCCTTACCAGATATATCTGGCATCCTTATGCCAGGTATGAATCAGAATCAAGAAATTTGTGCTACTGCAAACGCTCACTTCGGTCACAAGCAATGCTCCAAAAATAAAAGTGATCTGCCCTTTTGGAAGGAGTCTGATGGGGCGGGAGGCCGTGGTCCCAGGGTAGCTGGTTCCTCCTCCCTCACACACTCCACACAGAGCCCTGTGTCACTGGAGACAGTAATGGCTTGTGGAACAGCTCCACCCTGAACCACTGTTCCTTTCCTCATCTCTGCTCTCCCGTGTTTTTCTCCTTCCTGTGTTTCTTGACCAACTTTTAGTCTCTGCTGATCCCTGCCTACTCCAAATGCCATTTCCTGCTCCCTCCCTCTGTGAGTGCATTGTCCCCACTGAGCTGTGTGCCCCTTGAGGACAATGCTCTGTGCCCCTTGAGGACAATGCTCTGTCTTAAGCATTGCATCTCTCGGAGCTTAGTGCCAGTTCAGTAGTACTGAGCACTCAAGAGCTTGTTGCAAGGAGGGAGGATGGACTATGAAATCGCTCGCGTAATAAGGATGGGTGCTTTCTTTCTTTAACCTAGCAACAAGCCAACCACCAACTATCAAGTGTAATCTTAAGGTCTGGTCGAAGTCTCTCTCTCCTCTCTTTCTTTCTTCCATAAAACTTGGCATTTAGCTTATTTTGCTTATTGGCTCACTTGTACATAAAAGATAGACTTCAGCTTCCCTTCTTCCAACTCCTCTTAGCAAGTCAAATTCCCCAGGCAGGATGGAGCATGCCTTGCCTTTATCAGCATTGTTGAGAGAGTTCTTCAGTATTAGGAGAATGTACAGGAACAAGGAAGGAAAAAGCTGCAGTGGAGCCTGTCACCTTAGAAAGGCTTATCTTCTGTGGACACATTCTGACTTTTTATGCAACTTGAGGGTTCTCCAGGAAGGAATTGAAACAGATATTCCTGACCAAGTTTGCAGGTCCAGTTGCTATTTATATCATCCTGGATGTTGGTCCTCCTACCAGAACCCAACTTCACCCAAGGCCCATGCAGAAATAAACAGATATTTCTTTTGGACTTTATCCAAGTGAGCTTGGCTAGTTACAAGAGCCAAAACAATGCTGAAGTGACATAATTTTATGGAGACTAAAACCCCAAATAAAGAAGAGGATACAAGTCTGCCTTTGGCTTTGAGCAATGACAATCAAGTGAAGTCTCCAGTCAGAAAATTCCAATTACACAAATATTTGAAGATGGTGTTTCAGAAGTAGATTTGAGAAAAATCAATTCACCAGGTAAACAACTCCCAATAGATCTGAACAATTAAGAAGTTTGCTTGGATCCATTTCAAAAACAAGGGCTCTTCCAAGACAGAAATGATCATGTCTTCTTTTAGGGGCTTAAATTTAGGAAGGGTCACTGTGTCCTTACACAAGGAAAGGTTAGTTAAAGGCAGAGGGTCTCAAAGTTCTCTGATCATAAGCCCTTGTGAGAAGCACACAGAAACCCACTCCATATATGAAACAAAAGTTTCATAAAACCACACTGACCTTTACTATATGCAATGTTTTTATCTTTTCTATTTTATTCTATTATAATTAATTTTTTTAAATGCTGGTAGTGTTCCAAAAAAATTAATTTGTTGATCCCATGTGAGTGGTGACCCAAAATTTGAAAAACAGGGATTCAAGAAAACATAAAAAAGGTTCTGTTTCAAATCTAGTAAAAACCATTTCCCCTAAAGCTACTACCTGTCAATTAGAATCATTCCAGTGACTATTGATAGTGAAGGCTATAGTTATAGAAAGGAAATAACTATGGAAAGGAGATTGGTTGTGATGAGTGGAGTGCCTCTCATTTGCCAGATACTGTATATATTCTGCATAAAAACATTCTGCACAAAATACAGTCTTCTCTAGAGACGCTCACATCCCTACAGGGTAGGGTATCCACAAAACAAGCAAAACACATGGATGTGGATAGGTGCCGCTACATGAGCACATTTCTCTATCCCATTTTAATAACGGACGAAAATGTTATTACTGAAATGATCTTTTTCCCTTAAAGCCATTTTCAGGATCAAAGAATGACAGTTCATCTTCTGAACTACCCTGAGACATCTGACCACATCAAAGCCATCCTCTAGTACCAGTCCTCTTGCAGGCACATAGGAATAAAAAGCACTTAGTGCCCTCACTGGAGGTTGAGAACATGCAAATTCCAGAGTCAGTGTGAGCTTTGACTCTGGTCAGGCACTGATTTAATGGATATGTGAACTAGCTCCACTTCCTGTGAATTAATATCTTGCTCTTAGAAGACACTGGATCTGACAAGATACATAGCACAAACTACAGACAGGAGTCCTTCAGATGAGCTAAACCATCATTATTTTCCAAATTAATCCCTGAGCTTTTAATTAGTTGGCAAGCATATAATCACTTGGTCTGGCTGATTTAAGGATGCTGACTTTAAGTAAATATGTTAATACAATAAAAAGCCAATTTAAAAAAATGTATCAGTATGAGATAATGTGTGTTAAAATGATTTTTTAATATACTACAAGTAGAAGATGTAAAAATTCTACCCTATGAAATTAATTGAGATTGTTAGAATTGGGTTGCAGTGGTTAATTTGAAAGGCCAGATAAACCAATATCCTTTTGTGATTAAAGAGAACTTGCTTTGGCTTCAACTTAACCACGTTTGCCTGCTTTTGCTTTGGCAGTCTGAATGCTGTCTTGATCCCCTCCATACTAAAACTTATTTATTGAGTTGCTTACAGAAATCTCCTTAGCCTCTGTATTAGTTTGTAGGGCTGCCATAACAAATACCCCAGACTGGGTGGTTTAAACGTCAGAAATTTATTTTCTTATTGCTCTGGAGGATGGAAATCCAAGGTTGGGGTGTCAGCAGGTTTAGTTTCTTCCAAGGCCTTTCTCTGTGGCTTGTAGATGGTGTCTTCTCACTGTGTCTTCTCACTGTGTCTTCTCACTGTGTCTTCACATGTTCTTCCCTCTGTATCTGTCTGTGTCCTCATCTTCTTTTCTAAAAGGACAAGAGTCATAATGGAGCGGGGCCCACCCTAATGACCTTGTTTGAATGTAATTACCTTTTACGGGCCTCGTCTCCCATTACAGTCCGGTTCTGAGGTACTGAGGGTTAGGAATTCAGTGAATTTGAGGGGACACAGTTCAGCTCATGACAGCCTCAGTAAAGCTCTCTTCGATCGTGGTTGCAGGGTATGAGTAGGAAAAAGACCACTGCAGCGCTCCTCGATCCTCCATCAGGTTTCTAAATGGCAGGGATTTGTTTTGTTTTTTGCCCCAGGGAGAACTAATGCCGACGTGATGACCGCCCTGTCCCAGGGCTACAGGATGCCCCGTGTGGAGAACTGCCCAGATGAGCTCTATGACATTATGAAAATGTGCTGGAAAGAAAAGGCAGAAGAGAGGCCAACGTTTGATTACTTACAGAGCGTCCTGGATGACTTCTACACCGCCACGGAAGGACAGTACCAGCAGCAACCTTAGAGCACAGAGGAACCTGTGTGCTAGGCCCAGGGTGGCTGCCTCACTCAGAGAGGAAAAGTAACGATGGCGGGTTGCACTGATTATCTCCTGCGCAGGGATGATCTGCCACGCCTATCCTGAATGTAGAGGCTAAATTACTCAGGAAGAACACCCTGTAAATGAGAAAGTATTCTGTTCTCTTAGACTGATGCCCCAGCGAGCCGCAGCTTGGACTGATCCTCAGCTGTAATCTCGCTTTGCTTGACCAATTCTGAATACAGCCTCCTGAGAGGAAAGCACCTATTCTCTCCAAAAATGCACCTAACTGGCCCTAAATTTGCAATTGGACGTGTGACTTAAAGATTCAGAGACCATTGCAATGAATCCCCAGTAGAAGCAGAACTAAACCCATTTATAAAACTAAAATAACCATAGCATGTCACCTCTTTGTATTTTCTCTATGCTTTGGCTTACTTGTTAAAAACAATTACTAATCCAACCTATCAGATTTTGCAGGTGAAGTCAGCAGCTTAAAAATGTATTTCTCAGAGTTCAGTGGCTTATTTTTTCCCCACCCCAACCCCTCCCCACGCAACCTGAGACTGTCAAACGTTGCCTTCCGTGGCCACCGCTCGGGCCACTTGGCGCGCAGCAGCGCATGGCATCTCTCTCCTCCAGCGGGGCGACCGTCACCCGCGAGCACGCACAGCTGCCGCTGCGTGCAGCCTGGACCTCGGGGCTCGCCCAGACCTCCCGGGAGCAGAGCCCAGAAACTGCTCTACCTTAAGAAGTAATGTTTTTAACAGTCCAGCTCTTTCATTTCCACAATTTCCTATATCCAGACTTTTTTGACAATGTAGTTTGGAAGAAGAGTAAGATTCTAATCTCTGCAGAACCTTATAGGGCCTTTTAAAACATAAGAATTTCCTTTGTTGCTTCAAAAGATTTGAACATTATTTTCAGAATCAAATATTAATTTTAGTTGTACTTTAGAGAGATAAAATGCCATATTTGGGGCTATTTTTGTGATTCAGCAATCTTTTCTAAATCGTGCAAGATGTGTGAGACTATTTATACTCAAGGATATGAAGGAAAGTGAGTGACTACAGAGGCCCTAATGAGCCACAATGGCAGGAAACTCAACAGGTTTTGTTTACTAAATTTTTCTACTGTAAGCTTTGAATGGAAACTGCTATATCACATTATGTTTCACTTATGCTGTTGTGTATATACCTAATATTTCTATTTTTTGATTTTATTTTAATACACCTGGCCCAATAACATTTCAAGCTTTTTACTTGTGTTTATATTCTTAACTGTTTTCAGTGTAAAAGTGATTACCAAACTGGGAGGGAATGAGAGGTGTTTCCACAGAGCTACACGTTTAAACTTGTGCAAGTTCTACCTCCATGCTTTGATCATTTCAGATTGGAGAACTGAGGCGTTGGTGGCCTGGACTCCTGGATGACCCTTTGTGGGGACCAAGCAGGATTTGTTTTCCAAAAGGTTTAGCAGCACCATGAAAATTTCATTTGGTATGTTTTGTTTAGACTCCAGGTGATTAGGGAAAGGGATAAAATATTCCAATTTTCTCTACATTCTTACTACTTTTCCTATGTGATATTTTTAAATGTTCTTTCTAAAATATTCTAAAATTCTTGATTCACAAGTGCCATAATCACAAAGATGGAATGTAATGTCTGCACAACTGGCCACTTGATTCACAGCGGAAAGTTTTCTACATACACCTCCATGCTCACATTTTATATCAGAACCATGCATATTATCCAGTATGTCCCCTGAAGAGGACGCGTGAAGAATCCCTAAGGCAAAACGAAGGGTCTAGAAAGTGTATCTTCACCTTGTCTTGCTTCTTCCCATTCTGCTTCCTTTCGCTGTTCTCCATTTGACTTCCCCGCCCAGGGAAGCACGTGCTCCTCCCCTGCTCGGGCTCCTTGGTCAGCACGTGCTGAAGCCACATGTTCGCTCCTCGGCCTGTGAGCACAGGCTCTGACCTTGGCCCTGGGATTCCTGCTCCCCATGACTGACGGGCATAACGAGGGGCCCAGCAGCGTTTGTATCACCTCAGGGTTCTCCGATGGTTGCATAGCAGCTTAGTCACCACACCTGAGTAGAAGGGGCCGCTTGGGGCTTCTGTCGCCCCTCCACGCGTGCCTCCCTGGGTTGTGTGGAATCTCATTGCAGAGTCTCTCTAATGAGCCACCGGAAAGGCAGGCTGCCCAAGGCCCCTTCTGAGGACAATACGCTGCGCGGGAGCCGGCAGTGCTGTGCCAAGAGTGCACAAAGAGTTAATACAAGGAGAGCCTCTGGTTCTCTGCCTACACAGTGGGCAGACCAAGGGCCCTGAAACAGCCATAATTATAAACTCGTTTCCCAGTCTGCCTGTGGGGCCTGCTTCTCTTTGTTCTTCCCTCACTCTCACAAACTACCTCCAGGGCAGTAGCTGCCAAAACGTACTTGACATGAAAACCCAGCCTCTGTATATTCAACCGAATTAAGAGAAATGCTGGTGCTGCGGTTGCTGCCCAGCTCTTCTGGTTACAACTGCCCATTCTGCGGCCAGCTGGTGGATGTTTCCTGCATTCTTAGCCAAGAGCATCTCACCTCCCACCTTTCCTCTTAGCATCTCCCTCTGTTGTCTACTTCTGCCTGGTAGAGGAGACTCTAGTTCTCTGTCTCCTACATTTTGGCTCCGTGAGATTTGTAGATGAGTGAAGATGAGCCTCGCAGTTCTTCCTGATAGGAATGGTGGTTATGAACACACGAAGATACCCATACACCCATCATTTACTCAGGGCTCTCTTGTGCTTTGGCACATTATAAAAATTATTGCTATTCTCAACATAGTATTCCTGGCAAAAAAAATAAAATAAGAAACAGTTATCGCTGACTCACACAGCCCTGGAAGATGTGGACAGTGCTATCACTATTGCACAGCTGAGAGGGCAGGTGCAGTTAAAGCCTCAGAACAAATTGGCTTCACTTCATATTGTTTCCTTGTGAAATAAAACCAATGAAATACCTTTGTAGCAGAATCTCCCTGACTCGGTTGGGTGTTCTGAGTGGAGCCCACACAGAAGAGAGGGGAAATTTCTTGTAAGTAATCTTACTTGTGGAGGAAAAGTAATGGGAGAATTCAACTCGCCAGTTGCACTTTGTAGAGACTATACTTTTGAATGGAATGTTTTGATAACATGTTTCATTTCATAACATGAATTTATATTAAAACTGATAGTTTTGTCCCATAAAGTTCTAACCCAATACATGTGTAAGAGGAATATTCCAACTTAATTTCCTATGTTCTGATGAATATATTAAATACTTCAGGTAGGAGTGTCAGAAAAAGGTCACAGAGTTCCCAAGATGGCCATGGTATGACCTTGAGTATTTCCCTTAAATGGGGAAATGACAGGGACAATTTCGGTGGCCTCTATCTCTAGGTCTTTGGAAAGACTTCAGAAATAATCTGGATCGGCCAATGTGCAATGTTAACACTGAACTTCTAGAATCAAAAATGGCCTTATCTACAACACCGAAGTAGATACCACAAAGTAGATACCATGTCATAAAGTAAGAAAATTATCTGTATTTTTGTTATTGTTAGCCTTTCACTGGGCTTGCACAATAGGTCCTTCATTCCTTATCTGCATCCAACCTTTAGGGTCAGATGTGTTTTTGATTTCATGGGTTTTTTTCAAAGATTAATACACTGAGTATACCGAATATTTGGTGGTAAAACCTCAGTGAATACTGAGGAGGAAATCAAGTAAACATTTTTGCAGAAAAATGCCTACATATTCACAGCAAGTGGGATGAATATAGCCCATAAATAGCTTCAGGTCAGGTTTTGCCATCAAATGAGTTCTTAAAAAATCTTTTGGATTTCAGGGTCTTTGAATTTCAGAATTGTGGATAAGGGCACGTGGACCTGAACCTTGGCCAGTTGAAGAATGTGCAAGGCCTTTCATTATCAGTGGTGTATTTGATTCAAATGGAGGACATTTAGATGGTAGTCACCCAAACAAAAACATTTTATGTAGCTGTGCTCAAAGATGCAAAGTGTTTATGCTTCTCTTTGAAACAACACAATTTTAATATTAGTATAATCTCTTATCAAATACTGCCTCAGGGGTGGGTGCAGTGTCTTATGCCTGTAATCCCAGCACTTTGGGAGGCCAAGGTGGGAGGATCACTTGAGGCCAGGAGTTTGGGACCAGCGTGGGCAACATAATGAGACCCTGACCCTATCTCTACAAAAAAATTTTTTAAAAATTAGCTTGACTTAGTGGTGCACGCCTGTAGTCCCAGGTACTGGGAAGGCTGAGGCAGGAGGATCATCTGAGCTGCCCAGGAGTTTGAGGCTGCAGTGAGCTACGATCTTGGCGTTGCACTCCAGCCTGTGTGACAGAGCAAGAACTTGTCTCAAACAACAAAAGAAAAGATACTACATAAAGTACATGTAGAAAAGCACATTATGAAGTCCAATCAGCACAATATGACAGACAGACGGACACAAAGACCTCTGAGGAGGCTGTTATGGCAGTTCCAACAGAGAGAAAAGAGTTCAATCGCCACTTGGGCCTGCTGGGGCGACACTGCAGCAGTCGGCCCTCCCAGTGCCTTGCCTAACGCCCAGGGATTGGGTTTCTCTGGATTTAGGGTGGGGTGCAGAAATCTGCTTTTGATTTTTTTAAAATACCACCCCCATCTCTGATGTTGATGTTAGTATTCAAATTATAACCCTTAAGAAACTCAACCAGGGAATTTGATTTTGGAGTTGGCAGCTGTTATCAGTTAAATTGTGTTCTTCCAGAATGATCTGTTGAAGGTCTGACCTCCAGAACCTCAGAATGTGACATTGTTTAGAGTAAGGTTGTTGCAGATGTAACTGGTTAAGATGAGGCCATGCTGGAGCAGGGGGGGACCCAGTCCAATATGCCTGGTGTCCTTATAAAAAGAACCCCATGGGAAGTGACAAACACAGGCAGAAGGAAGTCTGTGAAGACACCCTGGGAGGAGATGGCAATTCTGAAGCCAAGGAGAGAGACTGGAACAAATCCTCCCTCACAGCCCTCAGAAGAAACCAACCCTTCATCTTCCAGACTTCCAGCCTGGACAAGGAATTTCTGCTGTTTAAGCCGCTCAGTTGTTGATACTTTGTGACAGTATCCCAGTTATAGGAGTGTTGATAAAAGAGAAAACTGTGGAAAACATGGAAACAGAGAGAACCTACAGGCAGGAAAAGGGAAGCGGGGCCAGCAAGGAAGATAAAGAAGGGTGGTGGAGGCGGGAACTGGGAGAGTGGACAGCGCGGGGCCAGGGCCCAGGGGCGAGGGTGCCGGGCAGGGACAGCCAAGCAGCCATGTGTTCAGATGCAGGTTTTATTTATTACCTGGGTGTGGCGAGGCCAACAGAGCAGGAGACAGGTTGCTCCTCACTGTGCTCAAGAGGAGGAGCACACCACACCCTGCCACCGCACCCACCAGGGCCATGCCAGGAAGCACCAGGGTCCCTCAGAAGTAAAGGAGTGAGGGGGACACAGGCCAGAGCCCTCCCTGGGGTTTCTGTGGGGAGGCCTGGGCAAGGCCAGGGAGCAGGCCTAGGACGGGCTAGCTCCTAGCCCTCTGCTCCCGGGTGATTAGGCCCAGCATGTGTGAGCCCAGCAGCAGGGGGTGGTTTGTATAGGAAAGGTGAGCTTCCGGGTGAGCTGTGTACTTTCTCTGGGAATTGGCTATCCAGGAAGTGGCAGTGTCTCCAGGGTCACCAAGGCCCCAGATGTCAAAGCTTCAGAGTACGAGAAATAGAAATGTGATTAAGGCACATGCCAAAGGCGAGAACAGGAGGAGGATATGACCAGGACAGATCAGGGGAAGGTTTTGTCCTCAGAAAGGCCTAAGGTCCCTGAGGGCAGGGTCGGGCCACACCAGGTTCTCACCCCTACACCTACCTAAAGAGCCTTCTAAACCACACCTGTTTGTGCCAAGTGGCAGCAAGAAGAAAGGCTTGCAAAGGGGGTAGAGGGAAGGGGATGCCTATCTGGGGTACCTCGGGAGGAAGAGGAGGACGGCAAAGATGCTGGGGCCCTGTGGGGCCAGCTGATGGCTCTGCCATCCTGCAAGGCGGGGCTTTGAGCAGGGGACGTGCGGAGAGCCTGCAGCGCCCGTGCAGAGTGTGGAGGAGATGAGCGAGGCTGCCGCCACGGCACTCACTCTAGCCTGGGCAACAAAGCGAGACTCTGTCTCAAAAAAAAAAGGAAGAACGTTTTTATAAATTTAGTGTAGCCTATGTGCACGGTGTTTACAATCTACAGCGGTGTACAATAGTGTCCTAGGCCTTCACATTCACTCGCCACTCTCTCACTGACTCACCCACTGCTGCTTCCAGTCAGTACAAGCTGCATTCATGGTAAGGGCCCTACACAGGTGTACCATTTTTTATCTTTTATATCAGATTTTTACTATACCTTTTCTATGTGTAGACACACAAATATTTACCAACTTGGTACAATTGCCCACAGTATTCAGAACAGAAACGTGCTGAACAGGTTTGTAGCCTAAGAGCAATACAGTATGCCTAGATGTATAATAGACTATACCATCGAGGTTTGTATGAGTATAATATTTGCACAGTGACAAAATTGCCTAATGTTGCATTTCTCAGAATGTATTCCTGTTATTAAGTGATATGTGACTGTATTTTATACTGAAGAATATCTAGGCACAAACATCATACCCTCCCCACCAAACACATGCCAGTCATTTAAGTTATCATTTAGCTCCCTGAACAGCAGCTTCCCATCTGTCTTTAAAAATACTCAAACCGTGTTTCAGATAGCTACTCAGTTTGTGGTAGGAAATAAAGAAAAAGGAAGTATAAAAAGCATAAAAATTAAATTAAAACTCTCAATTCCAAAGGGTCAGATTAAAAAAATGCTCCTTATTAATCAATAATATAACAAAACACTCCTTTAGCAAGTGAATTCACATAGATACAAACTTCTGGGACAAGTGCTGTGGATTGAAAAATAGGGCCTCCTTCTGGGACATGGCTTAGGCCCGAGGCTGAGGAAGAAGAGAACACTCCACAGGCTCCCCGTGGGGGGGTGCGAGGGGACGATCTCTCCTCAGACGCACATCCCAGGCCAGCAGTCAACAGCGAGCGTAAGGCTTGAAATCCGAATGTAAAACCCCACAGAGAAACTCCAGTATCACACCAAGGAATGCAAACCAACGACTGGATTTCTTTCTTTAGAGAAAAAAAAATTTTTTTAACTGAAAAGAAAATGACATAAAGAAATCTGTTTTCATTCCTTTACTATACCACCTCCTACCAGATGTAAAGTCTAGCTTTTGGTGTTTTCTGGTGTTTTTAGGCATCGGTTAATTTTGTAATGAACATTCGTACAGCCACGCAGAAACCTCAGGGAGAAGCGTGACTTCCCAGTCAAGGCTAACGCGTGGCCTCCCACGGTTCTGCCTGCGGGAGAGAGCTCTGCGGAGGGCTCGGTAACCAGTACCACACAGGATATGGATTATTTGCCTCCTGTCCTTTGTTAAACGAAGTTGAATTAAACTGAGTAAGAATGCATGCGGAGAAGGGCTGTGCACAGGCTTTAAATTAGACCTAATTATTTTTAGGAAAAGTCTTATTTTTCATTAATCAGCTGGTTTTGTTTAAATTCTCAACTAGCAACCCTTTGCTTAGTTGCATCAACTGGATAATATCTTTCCTTTTCTTTCTGTGGATTAGCTTCATACCATTTATCCAATATTGTAAAATCTAATTATGAATCAAGAGCTTTAAAAATACTGATGCTATTATTGGACTCAGCTCACTCTCTAGAAATCTTAAATACAGAAAACAATGTAAGACTGCTTAAATAACTTTTAGGCTCAAATATAGTCATTGCATCACTATTTATAATTCAAAAATATTGAAATTCTCTAAATGGCAAATTCATCCAGTCACTATGCATTGTAGTTGCACTACGCATCAGAATCATGCATCCAAAGGCTATGTAATAGTCAAT